AGGAGCTCTAGAAACTGCAGCTGCTACTGTTAGGACTGACCTGTGGCACCCCCCCAAGGAGCAGCCGTGGAAACAGACAAAACGGAGGTCTTGAAAAAGCAGGGGGGAAACCTGGGCGGTGCAAGATGCGAGAGCCACAGCTCAGGAGGGGAGCATTCAACGTGTCCCGTGGAGTCGCCGCTTCCAGGACTCTCACAGCTATCGGCAACAGATGCAGGAACTTCATTCTCCTGTCCGCCACCGTTTTCCCTACCGAGATCCCCAGATACCTTCAACAGCTCAGCCGAGAAAACGGACTTTGGTTGTCCCTCCCAAAGCCGCACTGGTGATACCGACTGTCTGATCTGCTGCAATCCATACGGTCTCGCCCGGTTGCCCAAACGGCTGGCTTGCCAGCACGTCTTCTGCGCCATCTGCCTCAAGCTGCTTCTGTGGAACGACGGCCAAGCGTGGACCATTGTTTGTCCCCTCTGCCGGAAGGCCACCTCCGTCCTAGGAGGACTGATTTGCCATCTCCCCAATGAAGAGGAGGCCCTTTCCAGAGGCCAAAATGGGGAGAGGTCTTTCCCTTCAGAGGCTCAAAGCGGGGAACAGCCACCCTGCAACGTTCCTGACACCGGTCATAGTGATTCAGAAGACCACAGCGGCAACAGAATGGCTGCCAAGAGACTCCTCTTCCTTGTGACGCTGCTAACGCTGCTGGTTACTGTCACCGTCCTTTTCTTGTACCCCGGCCTCCTGAAGTGGGTTCTGTGCATCGCTGCCCTCTGGGGGCTGGCTGTGGTGGGGGTCCTTTGCTGGAGCCCCAACTGGAGATGCAGCGGCCCCAATGTTTCAGGCCCAGAGTCCAGGAGAACAAGATGAAGTCGCATCACCTCTGCCAATTAAGCTGGTTCTTGTCAATGGAAGTTTTGGCTCCCTACAGTTTTGCCTCTGGATGAGACCGCAGGGTATTTCTAGATTCCAAACATCTTATTTCTCAGGACTTTTGGGATGGGGGAGTGGATGGGCGGGAGGGAGAACTGCTACATCTTCCCTTCCGTCTCACGTTAGCAATTCAGCAGGGGTTGTTCTTGAGCTATACAGGAGCAGCCAAGCTTCTCCCTACTGCCGTTCTGGGAGTGCAAAAGGTGCCCCAGCTGTTGTTCTTGGGTGCATCTAAATCATGGAATCCCAAACATTTAGGAGCTGGTGGAAAATTATCATTTAATTTTTTTAAAAAAGGTGTCATGGTGAACACGCTCTGAAAGCGCTGCTGCTGCTGCTGCTGCTGCTGCTGCTGCTGCTGCTGCTGCTGCTGCTGCTGCTGCTGCTGCTGCTGCTGCTGCTGCTGCTGCTGCTGCTGCTGCTGCTGCTGCTGCTGCTGCTGCTGCTGCTGCTGCTGCTGCTGCTGCTGCTGCTAACAGATGCTGTCAGGACGTTGCCCTTCCCAACCTGGTGCCCTCCAGATGGGTTGGGAGTGCACTCCTCCTTTGACCATGTTGGCTGGCCCTTCGGAGACGTGGCGTCCCAATGCAGCTGACAGGGTAGCCTTGTGAGAACCGGCAGCCGCGCAACCAGGGAACAACAACAGGATGGCAAATCGGAGGGTTAAAAAAAAAATGGCGATCTGCCAGCCTACTCCAAAGGGGGGGGCAAGTAGCCTGTCAACAAAAACAGAAGGCAAAGAATGTCATTTATTTAGTGCTTGTGTTTTAATCAGCGGTGGCTGAAATTGTTTGATGATGGCTTCTTACTTTCCTTAGTAAACAGACTTCTCTATAATCTTGGCTTTCTTGTGAACCTTTGTCATTCCTATGGGGGGGGGAGTGTGTGAAGCCTGACAAACAAGCAACCCTGCTCCAGGAAGATGCATTCCCCCCCCCCCAGTTCTTAGAACGCAGACCTCCAGAGCTCTCCAGGAACTGCCTCCAAACCGTAATTAAATCCATGGAGAAAAATCCTGCGAACCATCTTCTGCTGGATTGTCCTCGTTTGTTTCTGTGTCCTCACGTCTGCTTTTTGGATTGCCTCTCCCTCCCCCCAGGCAAAGTGGTGGCCCTCAACCCACAAAGGTGGTGTGATCGGATTGCTACTGGGTTTTTCCCCTAGAACTCTAACGTCCTCCAGCCAGGTCCCATCCAAAACAGTCTAGGAAAAGAAGCAGGGATGCGTAAGGGAGTTGGGGACGTATCTGAATTCAGGACCGGCAAATAATCTTCTCGCTCAGAACTTCATTTCCTTCCAAGTTTTCTTCGTGTTGGCAATGATGCTGCGGTTGATCTCAACCCCGAGGGATTTCACTGCAGTCATCCAAAGATCTGTGCAGGTACGCGAGCTGGAAGGCCAAGGTCAAAGTAGAGGATGTGTTTTGTATGCCAAGCCAGCTTTGAGCTTGGCTTATATGGTGGTAGAAAACAGATGTTGAGTTCTTAGAGGTCCACCGTCAGGCCAGATTAGAAGTTGGTCTGATAGCTACTCTTGAGTGCATGATTTAAGCATTAGTACAGCATGCAGCTTATCTTTTCAACAGACGTTTAAAAAAAGATTAGAAGCTGGACCTACCTAAATGCAGATTTGACCCAAAAGTGTGTGTCACACTTGAAAATCTACAGCCTGCTGAGGTATGTTGATCATTGGGTTGATTCACAGTGGGAGTTTTATTTCAAACAGGAAAGCTCTAGGGGAAGAGCTGAGCTGTGGAGGGGAAGGGGCTTCAGATATCTCCAAAGATCCACCTGTTCAAGGATGCCCAAGGATGTCACCATGAAGATGGAGGGTATTCACGCATCCTGAAAAGCCCTCACGGGGTCTGCTTTTGGCTCATACGAGGTGTGTGCCCAGCCACTGAAATGGGTTGTTTCTCCTGGAAACTAAAACAAGTAGGTATGCAAATCATCATTAAAAGATTGCATTGAGATGCACATTCTCTTCAAGAAAAATGGGGTGGAAGAGGCTGCGCTGAAGAATTGGAGAAAACAATGAAGACGCAGAGGCTCAACCCTAGGCTGATCTAAGAGACTTGATAGACAAGGGCAGTCAGGCTGAATTAGGCCAGACCTAGTTAAGTCCATAAAAATAGAGGGTCTTATTTGCTGGTTGGGGACAACTTGGACATTGGTCCAAGCCCAGGATGTCTTGCAGAACCATTTCCAGAGTGGGGGGGGGGGCTCCTGATGGGCTCAGACAGGGATGGGAGGGGTTCCTGATGTCCCAGTTTCCCCTCCGGGATCAAAGTCCTCTCTCCAACCTTGGAAGGAGAAATCTGCAAAACAAAGTCCCTTGGATGTTCACACCCAATTTTTTTCATTTGTTTCTGATCTGCCCCCTTTTCATATGGGCAGTGGTTAACCTCCCGGGGTTAACAGCAGCAGCTTGAATTCTGCTTGGAAAGAAAGCGGGCTCCTAGAAGCTGCAACGGGGACCAACTGGAGTTCCCGAGAACTCTTCAAAGGTAAAGCGCACCTACAGCCTATAGCAGAAAGTTGCTCTGGAGAGGACCAGGCTGCGGATCTGAGAGGAGAGACCTGGAGAGGCTGGTGGCAGAGGAACAGCCGCGTTCCTCCTGAAACTGCTTTAATTCAGCTGCTGCGAACCCTCCATCCTCTGTGGCGTTAGGAGGGCAACTTCCCCGGAAAGGAACAGGTGCAGGCAAACGCTTTGTGTCCTCGGAGGGCTAATAAAAAACAAGGCCATAAATAATGGGCAGAGGTCAGGATGATAAATGAATTGAGCGCCCGTTCCTCCCACTTTGGGAACAGCATAATATTCCCCTTAGCAACGGGCGATTTATGAGGTTGGGCAACCTACCGGGGTGAAGAAGGGCAGAGACGTGATCCGAAGACACCGAGGCTGATCCGATTTCAGGTCGGCTCATGTTACACAACGGCGCGAGAGCTTGCAGCTTGGTTCATGCCTCGTCCTCCACTTCGGATTCCTTTATTCACGTGGAATTGATTTTATACTTCTACCGTGGAAAGCTCAATGTGGTTCTCCGTGAAGAAAAGCCCTTAAAGGCGGCTACAATGAAAGTGCTATTTCCTGTCGGATTTATGGAGGCTTTGCTATTTGCCCTTAGCCGCCCAGAGTTCACACGTCCGGTGGGCAGCCGTTTAAATTTCCCAGACAAAACGGTTGTCCCCGTTGGCCTTTCCTAAGGCCTTGAAAACCTGGCCCCGGGCTCGAGCCTGGTTGCATGAGCCCGTCTCCTGGTTGCATGGAGGACGGATTAGATCGTCCCCGGCTGCTATGTGTTTTTATTTTTGTTTTAGATTATGTGTTCCGTGTTTTTATTTGTTTTATCGGACGCCGCCTGGAGTTATGTAAAAGTGAGATGGTACATAAATTGAGCAAACAAACAAATAAATAAAATGTGCTGAAGAACCACGATGGAAGGGGGTCCTCCAAGACACCAGACTACAAACCAGCCAATTCCATTCTGGCTTAATAAGAGTCAAGTGGGTGTCTGGCATCACTTAACCCAGTGTTCCTCAACCATGGCAACTTGAAGAGGTGTGGACTCCAGCTCCCAGAATTCCCCAGCCAGCCATGCTGGCTGGGGAATTCTGGGAACTGGAGTCCACACCTCTTCAAGTTGCCATGGTTGAGAAATGCTGTCCTAACCCACCCTCCGATCTGTTTGGCTTTAGCATAGTGGCAGTGGCTGAAAAAAGAAATCATGGTGAACTGTTAATATTGGTGATGACCTGTGGTCAGAACAATAAATCAACTGCTAATCTTGTGCAAAAGTACTCTGGTGGGTCTGTGCGTGGATTTCCAGTAAAGAAAAAAAAAAGGGAGAAAACCTTAATTATACCCTTGTTTCTGAGAATAAACACGAGAGCATCAAAGCAGGTGCGACTCCCGTCCCCCTCCACGTGGGCTCCCACTTCCCTTCCCGCCTGATCCTACCGCTCTGGCGCCTCCTCTCTATGCCCCCACTTCCGCCCCGACCGCCACTTCCGTCGCAGGGCGGCGAGGGCGGTGTCGGGGGGGCGCCACCGACTGGGCGGGCGGCGGCGATGTCCCGCAAGCAGGCGGCGCGGGCGCGGCCCGGGAAGGCGGAGGCGGAGCGGAAGCGAGACGAGCGGGCGGCGCGGAGGGCGCTGGCCCGCGAGAGGCGGAACCGGGCCCAGGCCGAAGGGGAAGACGACGGCGGCGGCCTGGCCGAGCAGCTGCGAGGGCTCGGACTGCGCCTGCGCGAGGTGCCGGGCGACGGGTGAGCCAAGCCACGCCCCTCCCTGCAGGCCCCGTCCACAGGGGCGGGGTGGGCGGCGGCCACGTGGCGCGCTTTCGGCCTCATTGCTGGCGACCTGCCTGGTTGAGGGCGGGGGGCTTCCCTCCTGTAGCCCCGCACAACAACCCTGCGAGGTGGGGTGTGTCCCAGAGTCACCAGCGAGGGCGAACGTGGGTTTCCCTTCGAGTTTAGGCCACGCCCCCTTTTGTAGCCTCCTCCCACCGACTCTGTGCTGGCCCGCCCTCGCTGAGGACTAGAGCCTTGTCCTCCCCGTTGTGCTTATGGCTTGGACCCGGTTTTAGCCCCTCTTCGGGACGTCAGCCCTCCTATTTGGGGGGAAGGCGAAGAGGGCTGATCCAGTCCAGCGCCTTCGCTGCTGCCACATGGCAGAAAACACGACAGGAAGCCTGAAAAGTGAGTGAATGTAAATACAAGTACACATCAAGATAGGCATAAACACGAGATATAGGACGAGAAATAAGAATATGAAAGTACAATAACGTTAGAATAAAGTAACGTAAAATAATAAAATAAAGTAACATAAAAACTTACTTACTCAGCACGTCAACGAGCCGGGCTCCTCAACCGCAAGTAAAAGGAGCAGCACGGACAGGCGTAAAGCTGGGCAACCCGGAGGAGATCCTGGCTCTCTTGGAGGGGGGGCGACGAACAGGTGTTTTCTCTGCCCGGAAAGGTCTTCCGGAGGGTCCTCCTGGCCCCCCTGTAAAGGGAGCCCCGCATGGCCCAAGGACTCTACGGAGCCATCCCCACATGGGCAGAGGCACGAGCGCACGGGAGCATCCTCGTCTCGACCACTAAGATAAAAACCTCGGCTGAGGCGTGGTGTGAACCCACCCAGCGCTTCCCAAACTCCATTACCCAAAACTGCTTATCAGAAAGGCCCTGCTACTTACGCCAGTTTAAATGTCCCTGCTGTGATGGGTTGTGGGTTCATGTGTTGTTACCCAAAGAACCGCTTTTACCCCATTTGGGGTCATTTCCCCAGGTTTGGGGAGCACTGCTGTAAGCCGTGGTCTGTGCGGGAGAGCTACCCGGAGGCGCTCCCCTTTAACGGCATTCCACGTTGAGGATTAAAGCCTCACGTCCGAAAGCGCGGAGTCCGGCCGGGCTCCCGTACGTGCGGGGTGAAGGGAGGCGTCGGTTCGTCCCATTGCGTTTTCACAGGGCGAGCTGCAAAGAGCCTTAGCGTGTTCGCCATCCCTGACGATGCCGCCTTCTCAGGTCCTCCACCGAGGGAGTTCTCCCAACTCCCAGGCTGGTGGTTTCGCTCTTTCATAACTCTGACCCTCACGAAACCCCTGGAAGAACTGAAATGTGGCGATTTGGATTGTGTTTTTCCCAGGTTCAGTTAAAAAGGAAGCGGGGCTCTTGCGGCAACAGGGCAGAGAAAACAGAGTTCTGCGATTCTCACGTTTTTACTTGAGAGCCGCCCAGAGTCGTTGGGCATTGGGCAGCCCATAAATTTAATAAAATAAAAGCAAGCGTGCTTGAGCCGAGAAAGCCTTTGAAGAGATGAGGTCCGTCGGTGCCACGGTTGGGCCAGGCTGAGTCTAATCCATCCTTATTGCCCTTTTGGGCCCGTTTTCCAATTTCCCTGCTTTTTTTTTCTCCCAGGAACTGCTTGTTCAGGGCTCTCGGGGACCAGCTCGAGGGGCACTCGCGGAACCACCTCAAATACCGACAGGAAACCGTTGCTTACATGATCAAACAGCGGGGGGACTTTGAGCCTTTCGTGGAGGACGACGTCCCTTTCGAGAAGCACAGTGAGTTCCCCCGACGCCAGCGTGGGCCTGCGGGTGCCCGCAAGTGACGCCCGGGTTGCCCTGGGTCTGAGGGGGCTCAGAAGCTCTCCTTGCCCAGAACTGACCAGCGAGGGATCCGCTGCTCAGCAGGCCTGAAACTCCTTCTTGCTGTGCAAGAGCTGTAAGACTGAAATTTTGGTGGTGGTTTTTGAACCGTCAGTCACCTTGTGCAAGTCTGTCCCGCATAGTTCATCTGCAGTCTTTGTGTTAAGCAGGATTGAATGTTAATATGATTTAATATGCCCATAAAGGGTTATCGTATTGTCAGTAAAGGGGTTTTTTCTTTAGTTTTGTTTTTACATTGTCAGCACTTTAATGACTAAGCCGGGGCAGAGGAAGGCTTTCTCTCAGGGCCATTTTGGCCTTTTCTGCAACCTCTGGGTTCCTTTAACACTTTCAGTTATAACTGTGGTTGAAGTAGCAATAATGGCTTAATTGAGCAGTGCAGAAGGAGGGGTCTCCAAAGCAATCAGCCCAGGAGAGCCCTTAGTTTATCAAAACATACTTTTTCCTCCTCTGGCCTGCAGAGCTGAAAAGGACGCTGCCGGCACGATCCGGGTTTTGTTCCCGTCACGCGCAGGGTCTGAATCCTCAGGATCCCCCTTAGCTTTATTTCCAGAGAACTCTTGAGGAGTTGGGGGGCCTTAAGGGGGGCTTCTCTCTTCTCCCGGTGGCTGGGTTGTTCCAGGGGCCATTTTTCCCCCGTGGGGCACTTTTTCCCGTGTTTGTACTCTCAACCTTGAATGTCCCTTTTCCTTTCTTTTTATCTTTTCCAGTTGCCAATTTGGCCCAGCCCGGGACTTTTGTTGGCAACGACGCCATTGTGGCTTTTGCGAGGAACAACCAAGTGAACATCATCATTCACCAGCTCAATGCCCCCCTCTGGCAGGTGAATCTCCCAATCAAGAAATGAGTGAGAAGGGGGCGCCTGCCCGCCGAGGAGTGACCGGTTTGCCCTCAGCGCAGGCCTGTCTTGTGGCTCCCTGCAGGAGACCCCTCCCAGTTCAGGGAAGGCTCGGAGGCGAGCAGGGGGCTGGAGTCCTCTTAAGAGATGTGGGAACCTTTGGAAGTTGCTCTCAGGCGATCGCATTTAACGGGACAGAGAGAAGAAAATGTTAAATGTGTGGGAGGCATTGTCTGAACTTAAACTGAATTAAATCCAGTTGGTTTTGAGCTGGTCGTATCCACATCAGCATCCTAGCCCTGCTTCCTTGTTGGAGTGGGGCCCCTGGGACCCAGTTCCCAGGCCAAACAGGGCCAAGATTCTGCATTGCTGTTCTAATGGCATGGATGTGTTGTTTGCCCCTCTTACGGCCTCTCTGGAGATGCCCCCCAAATCTCAACGTATATCCCATCTGGGAGCCAGCTTGGCCTCTGTGTGAAAGAAGGCTCCTTTGGGAGCTGACGTTTCCTGACCCTGAAAAGGGCCATCCGTGGACTATTTATTCTTCCCCTTCTGGCAATTTGCAAACTAACTTCCTCCCTCTCTCCCCTCTCTTTAATGTGCTTTGGGCAACTTTTTACCTTCCAGTTACTGCTACTGTTCTCTGTTGATTTTCCATTTCCTCATCAGGGTTGCATGAATTGGTTTCGCCGTTTTATTTTGAATTTTGGTTTGGCTGGCTTGAAACCCTTCCTTACGGCCTGTCAGCTCGTGAATGGCAGCATATCGATAGAGTCCGTTTTTGCACTCCGCTGCGGCTCTTGGGAAGGAGAGACCTCCTTAAACTTGAGTTTTGGGTAGACGTTGGTTACCGATGACTCAAGGGGCCTCGGCTGATGCCCAGCTCCTCCTCAGTGCTCGGCGCTCTCATAGTTCTGGGTCCTTCTCAAGCCTCCTCTCCCTTCCTCAGATCCACGGAACGGACAAGAGCAACGCCCGAGAGCTGCACATTGCGTATCGGTATGGCGAGCACTACGACAGCATCCGAAAGCTCAGCGATAACTCAGCGGCTCCCGCTTGGCTGCAGACAGAGGTTGGTTCGGCTTGTGGCCTTCGGGGTTGCCAAAAGCCCCTGCAGACGTGCCTTGGGCCGAGCCATAAACCACGGGTGGGTTCGTGCTTCTCCCCAAAGACGGGGTGGCGCCGTGAGCTTCCCTTCCAGGGAGAGGAAGGGAAACCAGGATGCTCTTCTTGGCAGCCTCCCTCACCCAAGCCAGTGGAGCTCGTCTCTGAGTCCCCCCCCCGCACACACCCCTTTGTCTTGCCCAGATGTTGTGCCAGAATGAAACGAGGAACAAAGAGGCCCTCCAGGTGAAGGGGGAGAGGCAGCAGCCCGAAGAGCAGACACCAGATGAAGTTGAGGACGCCGTCCAGAAAGTTCGCAACGCCACCGGATGCTTGGTGAGGCTTTTCCGTCCCGCTGCTTGGGAGTTGCACCCCCACCCTCCCCATCAAATGCTTCTGTTTGGTCTGTGGTCGAGAAGACCAGCCCAAAGACCCCCCGTGCTGTTCCCTGGCTGAGGCAGAAGCTGGGCCTTCGTGCTCCTGGTCCAACAGATGCCACGGTTGCACAACCACCCTCTGCTGAGGCTCTTTATGCGATCAGAAGCGCCCCGGCCCGTTCTTCCCCAGCCTGGCTCCCTCTGCTGGCTGGGATTCTGGGCTTCACAGTCCCAGCACGTTTGCCTCGGAGGGAGACGAAGCTCGAGACTGCGTGCAGCCCACCGGGGCCCATTTCCCTCTTCCTTGGTTGCCTTGAAGGATTTGGGGAAATGGGGAGTGGGGAGCAGATTAAGGCAAGCCTCCCCTCTAGGGAGGTTGCAGAGATTACTGGAAGAGCAGGGGGGCTGGAGGTTTGCCATGCCAACACAGACACCCAAAATCTATTCAACACATCTGTTTTATTTCCCTTCTCAGGACGCTGATTTAATTGCCCAGGTCCTTGAATCAGAGGATTACAACATCGAGTCAACCATCTTTGCCGTTTTTCAGATGAAAGAGTTGGAAAAGCTCCGTAAGTACCGTCCATCCGTCCGTCCTTCCTTCCTTCCTTCCTTCCACCTCGGCAGCAGAGATAAGAATAATAAATGTAATGTGGTAGAGAAAGAAGGAGGAAAAACAGCTTGAGGGTGTACATTCATAAATCCAGGAGGAGGAATCGAGAGATTTTGAACATTTGAGCTGAGGTACTCTACCCAGGAAAACTTTTGTACAGGCAGAGTAATTGATCAGGGAAAGCTCTGTTACAAAGACTTACGCCTGTGGGCAAAGTTGCAAAGTATTCTTACTGACACCAGAAGCAAGCAACATCAGTTCAGCTGAAGAACACGTGCGTGTGTCTGTGTGTGTTTTCAATGGGGCACGAGTCAGTGAGAAGGAAGGCTTTGCAGCATCTTCCGCACAATTTATTTTAGCGTCCTTAATCCAAACGTAAGGATTTGTTAATTTTTTGGCCAGCGCTTCCTCCAGAAAAGCTCCCACTAAGCTGACCCCAAGAAGAGCCAAAGAAAAACACGCTCATGGCAAAAGCATACATTTCACACACAAGGACAAAAATGCCACCGTTCTCTGCCAACACGACTCTTAAGAGTAGAAATGTTCCCCCTGGAACGGGGCGAGGGAGGAGGCAGGCTAAACGCGCGGCTTGGCTTGGCGATTCTGTTCAAAGGCAGCTCTTTTCGCAGCCAGATTCCCCGGCTGATTCAGGACACGGCGTCAGGCACCTCTGCCTCAATTTCAGATGCTTCTGCAAATGCGCTGAAACGTCGGGCTCCCCGGTCCCCCATCGCGGGGCTGCCAGCTTCCCTGGCCTCCAGCCTGCTCCTTCCCGCCTCCCGCGTGGGCTCGTTGGACGGCCGGTGCCCAGAGGCAAGGCTGGGAGCAGGCGCGGGTGGCTGAGGACTGGCCCTTCTTTCCCTAGATGCGGAGGAAGCCGTGGCCAACAGGCCGAAGCCGCAGCCCAGGCCGGCCCCATGGGACGAGAACGGAAGCGGAGCCAGGGTCTTCGGTCGCCAGGAAATAGAGAACAATAATAAGCCCCGGGGGAGTCCCGTGGAAAGAAACCGCCTGGGCAGAAAGCCGGCTCCAAAGGTACCTAAAAGTGGGGAACGGAGCTCCCGCCCTCTTCGTCGCCAGCCCCAGCCCTGGGCCCAGATGCCGCAGCATCTCGGCTCCCTGTCTTCGGTTTTCTTCTCGTTTCTCCTCCGCAAGGCTTTGCTCCCTCTGAAAGCATCCTGCTGAGGTCGGCTTCTTCCGCCCCTCCTGCCGCCCAGGGCGGTTGCTTTGGCGTTTTGCCCCTCTGGGCAGGCCTCAGAGGCTCCCCTCTCCCCTCCTCCGCATCTGGGGGCCTTTGCCGTCTGTTCGCCTTCCCCCTTCGCCCCCGCCTGCTGCTTCTGGCACGAGTCCGCGCTGTGGCTTGCTCGTCTGTTGTTTCATCCCCGTCCCATCCTGCTGACGCCCCCAGTTGCTGAGGCGTCATCCGCCCGTCTTCCGTGACAAGGCCTTCCTTGTATCTTTTTGGCACGCCGATTCACACGGAGAAGAGCCGCTGCGTCATCCCTCTTAAAACACAAACCCTGTCAGAGACAGGCAGGCACCGTGTGCGGTGAGCCACGTGCTTTGTCCCAGCCTTCCCCCAGGGGCCACTCCCGACATCCCAGCACGTGATCCCCAGGTCTCTGGGAGGAGCTGCTGTGCATCTGCTCCCCAAAAGCTAGCTTCAGATGATGGGAGCTGTAGTCTGGCACCTCTGGGAGGCGCCAGGCCCGGGGCGGACGCTGCTCTGGGTCCCCCCATCCGCTTCCCCCGCATTACCACCCTCTCCTCCGGCAGGCCTCCAACAAGCAGAGGAAGGAGCTGCAACGGTTGGAGAAGAAGCGGCGCCAGGAGGACAGGCACCGGCAGAGAGTCCTGGCCAGCCAGGGCGGCCCCTCGGACAATAACAAAATCGCGACAGAGTCTGACTCCCCGGTCACCCTGGTGAAGACCTTTGCGGCCCTCAGCATCTGACTTTGCGCTCACTTCTGGACGGCGGTTGCCTCCTTGAGAAGGGAGGATGGGGCGAGCCCCAACGCACCTTATGGGTGCCAGCGGAGGCAGGATGAGCAGTTGGCCCTCTGGGAAGCCCAGGAAGGAGGGCCAGTGGGGGCCTTCCCCGTCCCTTGTTTCGGGGCTGCTCGAACCCCCCTCCTCTCATTCCTGCCAGGTTCCTTTCTTCCATCAACCTAGGGAGGATCGCTGGCCGGATAGTTGCTCTTTGGGGGACGGCTGCATCTTTTCCTCACTTGCCGTGGGGCTAAACACAAGACTGGGGTGGCTCTTGCCTTGAAGCTTAAGGGGGCTGGTGGGGACGGGTGGAGGGCAGAGGGGCAGCCCTGGACCAGCTGGGAAACGGGACCTTCTGATTTGCCTCAGTTCTCTCGGTTGGTGGGTGGAGGTGGATAAGACTTTGCACGAGGGGGGTCTCTTGGGGAAGGCTGGCTTGGCAGAGCAATGCGGGGACTTCGGGAAACCTGTTTGGGGGAAGAAGTAATGTTTGGGGGAGGGGTTTTTTTCAGAGATACAGGCCCCCTGCCCCCCGCCCCCCGCCCAAGAGAGGCAGAAGGGACTTTTCTGTACCGTGAGGATCTCAAACCGTGGACAGCTTTTCTGCAAAGCTCCCGCAGGATCTCAGGCTTCGTCTTTATGTTCGATATGTAGTTTTGACGGTGTTGAAGAAACCCCAGGTTGCAATTTTCCCTTAAAAACCCATCTTTCCTCCGAAGAAACTTTTTTACATTTCTTATCTCTGACTTTTTCCAAAAAACAGCTGTTTAAAAACATGCGTAAATGGGAGGCATCATGAAGTGCCCATTTGGATCTCACATGCCTTCACTGATGGGTTAGAAAGGCAAGTTTGGGCTGGTGTGGGACGACTCTGGGTGAAAATGCCTCATTCTCTGACGAGTTTGGAAGAAGTCAGCATCCTTGGGGTGCGCTACCCCAAAAACAGATTTAACTGATTGCTGTGGGAAAAAAGCACGTATGGAAAATAGGTGCTCTTTGCGGGTGGGTTGAGCTGCAGAAATGTATCAGGGCCCCTCCTGGCTAGGAACCCTGGAGGTCCCCCTCATAGCACATCTGGAGGGTGCCAAGTTGGGGAATGGGATGTGAAGAGGATTGGTTGATTTATTTAAGCCATTTCTATGGCTGTCCTCCCCCTGCCCCTCTTCTCCCTTGGCACCCTCAAAGGAGACCTTAAAATCATTCTGGCGAGGCCGAGGAGCCTAACTGAAGACGTGGCGGGGTCACCCCCCAGGTCAGGTCCCTGTTCCTTTACAGGAGGTCAGACCATCTGATGGAGCCTGGAGCCCCAGGGTGGGTTCAGGACAAAACTAATTTGAGGTTTTCTAGAACAGGCCCCATTTGCCTGACTTGGTAATTTGAGGAGATGGGCAGCTAGGGGTGAGGAGGACAGGCGCTGAGTTAGGATTGCTCAGAGCGCAAATGGCCTGCGTTAGTTTGCGCAAAGCTTATAAAAAACTCTGGCCAACCCCACCTATTCCGGCCAGAATTCTGTCCCTGGCTTGGTTGCTATCCTTCCGGGGCTGACCTTCCATGTTCAGGAACAGTGTACCTCGGCTGGGGGACGTGGGCATCCGTGTGCTGATTCGGGGGCATCTGGCTGGCCACTCCAGGGCCAATCCTGTGCTATGCCAGCTCTCCTCTGAGGAACACCCTTCGTCCCCTGGCAGTCGAGGAGAGGGCCAGGGCGAAGAGCTTTCCTCACCCCTGTGCAAGGGGCAGACGGTGCTTTGCGTTCCCAGCCTCCCGGAGGCTACGCAACTCCACAAGGACATATCTATACAGACATTATAAAAAGAAGAGAAGGCTTGGAGAGCGTCCTTTATTGCGCAGGAAGGCACGGTTCTGAGGCTCAGAGAATACAGGGATGGGGCGATTTTGGTGGAACACCGTGGCCAGCTGGGACCACGAAATCAGAAGGGGTGGAATCAGGAAGCGGACGGAGGAGTGCAGCTTTGGTGGAGATCCTGGCAGGGCGGGGTGCGGCCTCTGCACAAGACATTTGGGTAGCTGACGAGTCTGCGGTGAAAAGGGGCACTGCGGAAGCAGAGGGCCGCGGCTTTGTCACACTCGCAAGTCTGCCTCTGGCAGTCGGTCTTCCCACCTGGAGGGCAGAAAGCCAAGAGGAGAGGTGGTGTGGGTCTCCCCTGCGCGGAAGGGGGTCTTGCACTGGCTCTGCACCCGCCCAAGTGTGTCCCTCCCAGATCTGCGCACGGGAAGCCCGTCTCCTCTGGACCATGCCCTCCCCTGAATTTGGGAAGGCAGCTCTACAATAGGAGCCCCCCCCTTGCAGAAATGCCCAATCCAAAGGAAATTATGGGAGGAAATGCTCTTAATTTCAAAAGGTTTTAGGAAACAGGATGCAACGAACATAGAATGTAGTTCTGTTTGCATTGCTTTGGGGTGAATATAACATTTTTCTTCCGGGGATTCCCTTTGGGGAGGGGGCGGGGAATGCCTGCTCCACCCATTGACACGGCTCCCGAAGGTTTTTGCAAACTGTCGGCGCCTCTTTTCCCTGTGAAGAGAAGTTGCCCAGGCTGAGCAGGACAGTGGTGATGCTTAACGGCGTTTCCTCCGCGCCTAGCCAAAGGGGTGGTCTGCCCCTTGCTGAAATTATGCAAATTGGGCTTATTTCACAGGTTTTGATCCACGTTTCTCTGGCCTGGTGAAAATCCTCTGCTGGCTTGGCTGGAGCTAAAGATTTCTCCAGGCGCGGCCTGGGGTCAGACGGTGCGCTATTCCAGGGTTTGTTTTGACTGCAGAATTCCGGCTCCCTGCCTCACCCCTCATGCTGGGCCACCTAGGAGTACTTTTGAACGCGGGCACCGTTCTGCATGTTGCAAAGGTGGTCCTGTGGCCCCTTC